TTTTTTTTGAGACGGAGCCTTACTCTGTTGCCCAGGTTGGAGTGCAATGGTGCAATCTCGGCTCACTGGAACCTCCGCCTCCCGGGTTCAAGCAGTTCTCCTGCCTCAGCCTCCCAGTAGCTGGGACTACAGGTGCGCACCACCAAGCCCAGCGAATATTTTGTATTTTTACAATAAAAACACAAAACCTGAAGTCTCAAACTCCTGACCTCAGGTTATCTGCCAGGCTGGTCTCAAAACCCTGACCTCAGGTGATCCGCCCTCCTCGGCCTCCCAAAGTGCTGTAAAGGCATGAGCCACTGCACCTGGCTGTGATAACAGATTTTTAAACAGTTGGCTTATCTTCCTGATAGTCTTCAGTCATCCACCTAACAATATGCATTGTATTAGTAATAGATTTTCTCCCCTGGACTAGCAACTATTCACAAGACATGCAGACTATGCAGTCCAGGATGACACATAACAGGATGGTACATGCAGAAACAGATTGCTCATCAAACTTTTTGTAGTAGCCAAGGCCATTTGTGATAGGCTCCTTTCCTAATGAAGTAAAGTGATTTAATCTTCTCAAAGCTCTTATGGAACTATAATATACATTTAAAAAATAACATATCGGCTGGGTGCAGTGGCTCATGCCTATAATGCCAGCACTTTGGGAGGCCAAGGTGGGCAGATCACCTGAGGTCAGGAGTTCGAGACTAGCCTGGCCAACATGGTGAAACCCCATCTCTAAAAAAATAATAAAAATATATCTGAGAGGACACTATGACTAAGGAATTCTACTCAATATATACCAAAAAGATATATCAACATGTATTTACCAAAATACATATACTAGAATGATCATAGCGTCATTGTTCATTATAGCCAGAAATCAGAAACTACCCAAATACCCATTAGTACTACAATGGACCAATAAACATGGTATAATTACAGTTATGCAGTGGAAATACTACTCAGCAATGAGAATGAATGAACTTGACTACAACTCAGTGCCATGGATGGATCTCACAAATACAATGTTGAATAAATAAAGTCAGACACAAGAGAATATATAATGTATGATTCTGTTTTTATAAAGCTCAAAAGGTAATCTGTGATGTTAGAAGCCAGGGTGGTGCTTACCCTGAGGGAGGTAGTACTGGAAGATGGCATTATTGAAGTATCTGGGACTTTGGTAATATTCCAGTTCTTAATCTAGTTGCTGACTTCTCAGGCATGCTTGATTTGTGACACTTCATTAATCTGTACACTTTATGATTTGCATACTTTTACGTATTTATGTATGCCTCAATTAAAATTTTAGTAAAGTATTAGAGGATACAGTTATTCACTGAAGCATTATTGGGAATTATAAAATATTAGAAAAAAACAAACATGCCCACACATAGGGAACTAAATTATTTATGGTACATCCACACAATAGAGTACTAAGCTGCTGTAAGAGAGGAAGCTCTCTACTTACTGATATGGAGTGATTTCCAGGATATATTATTAGGTGCAAAAAGCAAATACAAAAAATACACATACATATTCTTAAGTATATTACCTTTGGAGTAGGAAATAAGTGGAAATACAATATATATGTATCAACTTAATTTTTTCAAAAGGAAACACAGAAAGGATACACCAGAAACTAATTTGGAACTGGGGTAAGAGTTGGTGAGTAAGGAGTGACATTTTTCTGAGTGTTTGTTTCCCCAACAAATACAAGTAAACTCTAAAGTGGAAAACAAACAGAAATAAATGAACCTAACTATATTTCAAAGGAGTGATGTAAACTTGCTGTCACTGAAGGGGATAAAAACTGATTTGGATAGCTTGAACATAGCATAGGTTGAGCATCCCAAGTCTGAAATGCTACAAAATCCAAATTTTTTTTGAGTGCCAAAGTGAAACTCAAAGGAAATGCATTTCAAGCATTTCAGATTTTGGAGTTTTCTATTTGGGGCTCTCAACCAGTAAGTATAATACAAATATTCTAAAATTTGAAAAAATCCTAAATCCAAAACAATTCTGGTCCTAAGCATTTTGGATAAGGAATACTCAACCTGTATTTTGAATTTTGACTGTATACCCTTAGTCTAAACCAAAGTTTAAATAAACACTGAATTTTAGTTAGTAGAATTTTTTCTCTTGGTGACATCCATAACAGTTCTGAAACTCTTACTGTGTACTCTAGGACTGAGCAAATGAGCAAATAAGTATATTGATCCTGGGCACAGTGGCTCACGCCTGTAATCCCAGCCCTTTGGGAGGCTGAGTCAGATGGATCACCTGAGGTCAGGAGTTCGAAACCAGTCTGGCCAACATAGTGAAACCCCATCTCTACTAAAAATACAAAAATTAGCCAGGTGTGGTGGCGGGCACCTGTAATTCCAGCTATTCAGGAGGCTGAGGCAGGAGAATCGCTTGAACCTGGGAGGCAGTGGTTGCAGTGAGCCGAGGTCGCACCATTCCACTCCAGCCTGGGTGACAGAGTGAGACTGCCTAAAAAAAAAAAAAAAAAAAAAAAAATATATATATATATATATATATATATGTATTGTGGATAACAGCAGCCACGTTTCTCACTGTTGAAGAAGGCAGTTATGAAGAGGGGGGAGACTAGAATGAAACTTGTGGCATTAGATTGGAATGGGGGAATCACTATTAATTCGTGATTTATTTTATCTTTATAAAATAGGTATAAGTCAGTGTATACGTCTGCTGAGAAAGCTAAAAGCAATTACACCCTAATAGCAAAGAATGCACCTAGACCCAGACCTGGGGCAGAGAAAGAAGATAAGCCTGGCCCACCTTATTATGCCAAGGAAGTAAAATGTGCCCCCAAATTATGAGGACATGTCAAAAAAAGCCAGCTTGACAGGGTTCCCACTGGCCAAATCTGGGACAATTTGACAATTTGAGCTTCAGAATAAATATAGTAAGAGATTATAACCCATAGAATAAAGTTAACATCGGTATGGGTTCATACTAACATTAATGCATTTTTTAAAGGAAACTACTTTGTAGTAAAATTCCACGTAATAAATAGAGAAGCAGTGTTAAGAATGAGAAAAACACTGTTTTACAACCATCATAGTTATGATTGATACAGACAAGAATTATCAACAGATGCTAAAATCGGTAGGTAAAAGTTTGATGACAAATAGGATGTTTACACAGCCTGGAGTTATCTCTTCACAACTACTTAGTACTTACAAAAAAGAAATCCTTTACTGTAGGAAAATCTGGCAGACACTTAACTACTTAACCAAGTGACCAAAGATAACATCACCAGTAATGGGACAGGTCAATACCAGGTGCCTTCTAATAAAGATGTCAAAGCACTCAGCATCACTTTTGCAGTATTTCTGCCAAAAAATGTGTGACTTCAGTCTAATCATAAAAAAACAAGACAAACCTACGTTGAGGGATATTACACAAAATAATTGGCTCCTACTCTTAAAAAATATCAAAGAAATACAAATCAGTGATTAGAGGTAATAAGGCACAATGTTTCTAACTTAAATTACTAAGGGAAAAAATTACACATTCACAGAGAGATCAAATGGCAGATCAAATGTAGTAAAACATAAACAGTGAATCTAAGTAAATGTTATCAAGAGTTCTTGTTTTCTTTTAACTTTCTTTAAAAGTTTGAAATTGTATCAAAATTAAAAGTTACAACAAATAGAAACAAATTGGAAACTGGTAAAGGAAAAAACCTTCAAAAGTAAGAGTACCACTTAGTTTTAAATGCTAGTTTTATAAAAATTAAAATCTGAAAAGAGGGCACAAACACATACAGAAATAGTCATGGCTTCTCGAACATGCATCTCATGGTTCAATCATCTGTATTCAGCTTGCTCCAGACCAGGGGCTGCAGCCAGCAGATCAGCCGACAGATATGAGACGCAGGTGTGAGGAAGAAGCACAGGAAATTGTTCGGCATGCAAATTCCTCAACAGGACAGCCCTGTGTTGAAAATGAAAATCTGACAGACTTAATCTCCAGGCTTACAGCTATTTTGTTACAAATTAAGGTAAATTAGAGAAAATATTTTCTTAATTTGACATAAAGCAACCCATGCTGATTTGTTGCTAAGAAATTAATTCATTGATTATATCAGGTATTTTATATTTGAGCTATAATTCAATTAAGTTTTGAAATTTTTTTCCCTTTAGTGTCTAGCTGAAGGAGGAGACCTGAATTCCTTTGAATTCAAATCACTTACAGACTCATTAAATGATATCAAGAGTACAATAGATGCTTCTAATATCAGGTAATTCGTTAGGTACACTCTAATCTTTTTAATGTGAAGTTCGTAGTGATTTTCAGTATAAGTTTTAAGAATTATGCATATTTGCGAAGTACTCATATGTTATTCTCCATTAAATATATTTTTAAGAGCTTTTCACTTATATCCAGCCTGTTGACAGAATAGAAATTTCACATAGATTTTGTATATAAAGAAATTAGGAGGTATATTTAGGTTTGGGGTTAGCATGGAGGTTCAGCTTAGAAGTTGAGCTTCCCTAGTCAGTGAGAGGCTCATCCTCTCCTTCCAGCTCCCCATGGCTCCTTTGCTTCTTTAGAGTATATTTGTTCCATTACTACTGAAGTAGAATTATGGCTAATGTAGTAGAGGAGATATATTCCTTCTCTAAGATTTATCATAGCTGTTTTCTAACTAAAATTCAGCTCTCCTTTTTAAAAACTTTTTTTCTTAATTTTTTGAAATAAAGTTGTTAACCATGTTTCTTCTTTCTTTAGCTGCTTTCAGAATAATGTAGAAATCCATGTTGCACATATTCAGAGTGGCCTGAGCCAGATGGGAAACTTACATGCCTTTGCAGCAAATAACACCAACAGAGACTGAGTAGAAGATTTCATTATTCCAACTGCACAGGACATTGTTCTTTTCCTTTATATAGGCTTCCAACACCAAATAACCTAACTGCTGGAAAACAAGGGAAATTTAAATCTCCAAATAAGGCATTTTAATAGACTGTATTGCTTCTTAAACCAGCATTGCTGACCAGCATTATATTTATTTTTCTTTTATTATTCAAATGCAGTAGCATTGCTTATGTTACATGTTTATATTAGCAAATATTTTTAATGAAAATATCTGAACATAATATAATTTCATTGAAGAATGCATTGACCATTTTTTTTAACATGCATGAATTCACCGCAACACATGGAGACAACTCAGACAACTGCTGCCATGGAGAGTCTGAAGAAACCTGGTCTTTTTGTTCATATCGGTGGCAATGTGGAAATTCCATCCAGAAAATTACAACTCCACTTGATTTAGTTAATCACCATCTCAGTCTTCAAAAGATAACATCATGAAGTGTGGGAAGTCCTAGTTTTAAGGAAAGCCACTGAAATATAGATGGGAAATACGGACTTTACAGGTATATGTGATATATACTTGCAATGTGACATGGTTCTATAGATCATTTTATAATAAATATTTAAATTTATCATAACTTATATAAAAGAAACCTTTGTTTTTTGTCGTTAAAATAAAATGAAGGAATAGGGAAAAAACATAACTGCAAAATGCTAAATTTCTGCAAATGGATTTGGCATACCTTCCCATCAGTTCAGGTCAAAAGTGCTATTGTTATGAGATTTATTTAAAAAAAAAAAAAAAAAGACTGATAACACACTATTTTCATATTTTTTTTTTGTTTATTTGCACAACTTTTAAACCAGATTACTGGTTAAAATCCAACAGTACACAATTTGTAAAGTAAAAAGATTTTATAAGGAAAACAAATATAATAACCAGTGCTGTGAAATGCAGAAGAAAGGTTTGTTTTGATTGTTTTTCTTTTTTAGGAAAATCCCTAAAATGTTAATCTTGTAAAAAGTATGTATTTGGAATTTTCTTTGTTTTAATATAGAATATTATAAAGTCAAAATATAATAAATTGTTTTCAAATTTTGAGTTTAAGATATAGCTGTAGAGGTGATTTTAATTCCTTTAGATGTCTCATCAAATGAGACTTTTTATATGTTAATGTATAATAAAACTGAAACAAGATTATTTTCCATTTGAAATTTTTGTATAGTTTAAAAATGCTTCCGTATTCTTTGTTGGTATTGTGCCACTGCAGAACTTTAGTGCAGAGTTTATATTTAGCTAAACTGTTATGTTAATTAAATGCATAAATCTTCTATTCTTAATATTTGTAATTCTAAATAAATTGATCTATGAAAATTAATATTTCCTATATTTTCATTTAATTAATTCAAGTTGATATGCATTCCTTCTGTTTAAAAAGTTTTGAAGAATTGTAATTTACATTAAATTACATCTTTAGGGGAAGCAGTACAGATTAATTACCAAGTTACTCTGAAGTACCATCCAATGGTATAGATTTTATTTATTACCATACCGTACCATCCCGTGGTATGGTATTAAGCAAGTAAGTTATTTGGCCTGGTACAGACCTAGTGAAAGGTTGATTTTAATATATTCTACCTAGAATTGGGTATTTTGTGCCTTTTATTTTTATTTATTTATTTTTGAGATAGGGTCTCCCTCTGTCACCCAGGCTGTAGTGCAGTGGTACAATCTAGGCTCACTGCAACCTCCACCTCCCTAGTTCAAGGGATCCTCCCACCTCAGCCTCCTGAGTAGCTGGGATTACAGGTGCATGCCACCATGCCCAGCTAATTTTTAGTAGAAAGAGTTTCATCATATTGGTCCGGCTGGTCTCCAAGTCCTGACCTCAAGTGATCCACTTAGCCTCCCAAAGTGCTGGGATTACAGGTGTGAACCACCTATCTGGCCTCTCTTACATTTCTTAAGGCTTATTTGTCATGCTGAAATAGTAACTCAGTTCACACATATTTAATTGAGCACTGTTTGTTTTTCAGTGCCTTCATGCGTTGACAGAGAAAATGTGCCGAAGACTATAGTTGAACTTTATTTCTGTTTAGGAAGAAATCTAGATTTCAGAGTACTCATGTTGGATCAGCTATAGATTGATTTGAATGATATGCCACTGCTTAACACATTTTTGGAGCTCTAAAGAAAGCTATCAAAGCCAGATTGAGCAAACATGCAAGCACATACATGGCTTTTATTTATATAGATTTGGTTCTGATTTGGTTGCCTTAAGCTAGTTCCAAAAGTCATTTTCACTCTCAACCATTGAGAATCTACAAAAAGATTTGCCCATTAGCATTTTTGAATCCATGCACCTCTCCATCTTCATTACCACTACTTGCAGCCCAGCTGCCGTCAATAGCCTGGACACTGCAGTTGTCTCCTAACTTACCTCCAGCATCTACTCAGCCCTTTTCAAATGCAGCCAGGGGGGTAATCTTAAAATGCAGAATTGATCACCTTATCCCTCTGTCTATAAATGCCTTTAAAGTCTTCATTTGGCTTTCAGGACAAATTCAAAACTCTTTTACAAGACCTATAAAGCCATACATGGTCTGGTGCCCCCTACTTTTTTATCAGCTTGCTACTCCACAGAGTCTTCGCATGTACAGGGTCTGCGTTCCCTCTCCTCTCCTTGGTAACTCCTGATCATCCTCCAGATCTCACCTTCAGCATTACTTTCTTAAGGAAGCTTTCCTTGACCACAACACATCTCCTATTACAATGTCTCCAGAGCATGTATCTCTCCTTCCAGCACTTGTCACATTTGCAATTTAATATTAATAATTCTTGGAGATCTATTGTCTCCCTACTGGCCTGTGCTCCATGAGTGGAGGAACTGTTTCTGTTTTTGTTCACATTTTCAGGTCCTGGTAAAGTGCCTCTTCATGGGCAACAAATAAATACTTGTGTAATGAATGGGCAAATGAGAGTTTCAAAAAAGCTCTAAGCAACATTCATGTCATCGGAGTAAGAGTATGATCTTCCATGATGATTTTTTTTGAAAGATGAGACAGCAATGACTAGCATGTAGAAATTCTGACTTGGTGGCCGGGCACAGTTGCTCACGCCTGTAATTCTAGCACTTGGGGGGCCAAGGTGGATGGATGGATGGATCACAAGGTCAGGAGTTTGAGACCAGACTGGCCAACATGGCAAAACGCCATCTTTACTAAAAATACAAAAACAATTTAGCTGGGCATGGTAGTGGGTGCCTGTAATCCCAGCTACTCGGGAGGCTGAGGCAGGAGAATTGCTTGAACCTGGGAGGCAGAGCTTGCAGTGAGCCGAGATCGTGCCATTCATTGCACCCTATCCTGGGCAACAAGAGCAAGACTCCGTCTCAAAAAATATATATATATAGAAATTCTGACTTGGGGATTGCTTTTAAACCTATCACATTACTTTATCATTATTCCTAACTAAAAAGACCAGTGCAATGTAGGAGGCACTGTAATGGTGGTAGACTAATGAGTGGGCTGAGTTTGAGTCCTGGCCATGCCACTTACAAGCTCTACAATTGTGAACCACTACTTAGATTAAGTTTCTTGATCTTTAAAGTGGGAAGATTAGTCCCTGTCTTACGTGGTAGGTGTGAGGATTAAATAGATAATGTCTGTAACACATTTAGCAGTTAGGACCTCTTAGAGTTTGAGAGAGCTTCAGGCTGCTTCTTAGAAGATCCTGCAATTTAAAATGTGACAACAGGGTTTACATATTTGTAGATTTTTACAGTTGTTCACTGAGGAAGCAACATAAGACAATATAAAAGCAATAATACAATAATTACAAGATTTGTTCTTAAGTGTGATTCTTAATGGACCATAAGTTTAAAGCTTTATATGTCTTTCAGTTTTGTGAATGTATTTGTAGTATCTCATTTGGCCATGTCACAAGTTTAAATGTAAAAGTTCTGTGATTGGCCGGGCGCGGTGGCTCAAGCCTGTAATCCCAGCACCTTGGGAGGCCGAGGCGGGTGGATCACGAGGTCAAGAGATCGAGACCATCCTGGTCAACATGGTGAAACCCCGTCTCTACTAAAACTACAAAAAATTAGCTGGGCATGGTGGCGCGTGCCTGTAATCCCAGCTACTCAGGAGGCTGAGGCAGGAGAATTGCCTGAACCCAGGAGGCGGAGGTTGCGGTGAGCCGAGATCGTGCCATTGCACTCCAACCTGGGTAACAAGAGCGAAACTCCGTCTCAAAAAAAAAAAAAAACAAAGTTCTGTGATTGTGAGACCTCCTGAGCACCTGCAGATAAGCCCTAAGCACAAAGTCAACAACTAATGTTAATCAGCTCATTTCTGGTTTCAAACAGTTTTCAAAGAATTGAGAAGTACAGTTGGCTACTAATGCCTCAACTATGTTGTCTTGGCTGCTTTTTACTGGGGGGATGGCAGGTTCAAGGTCTCACTCTGTCATTCAGGTTAAGTGCAGTGGCACGCTCATAGCTCACTGCAGCCTTGAACTCCTGAATTCAGGCAGTCTTCCCACGTCAGCCTCCTGGAACCACAGGCACATGCCACCATACCTGGCTTTTTTTTTTTTTTTTTCAGACGGAGTCTTGCTCTGTTGCCCAGGCTGGATGGAGGGCTGTGGCCCAGTCTCGGCTCACTGCAACCTCCTGGGTTCAAGCAATTCTCCTGCCTCAGTCTCCCAAGTAGCTGGGACTACAGGTGCCTGTCATCACACTGGGTAATTTTTGTATTTTTAGTAGAGACAGGTTTCACCATGTTGGCCAGGCTGGTCTCGAACTTCTGACCTCACGTGATCTACCCACCTCAGCCTCCCAAAGTGCTGGGATTACAGTGTGAACCACCACACCCGGCCTTTTTTTTTTGGAAATATATATATAGACAGCGTCTTGCTATATTGCCCAGACTGTTCTCAAACTCCTGGAGTCAGGCAAACCTCCCACTTCAGCCTCCCAAAGTGCTGGAATTACAGGCATGAGCTACTGTGCCCAACCTCTTGGTTGCTTGCTTGCTTTTTTCCTCAACTTCCAAGTGCTTGGAAACTCTTAGTTGTTTGTTGTTGTTGCTGCTGCTGTTGTTGTTCAAGATGGAGTCTTGCTCTGTTGCCCAGGCTGGAGTGCAGTGATGCGATCTTGGCTCACTGTGACTTCCACCTTCCAGGTTCAAGCAATTCTCCTGCCTCAGCCTTCTGAGTAGCTGGGATTACAGGCACCCACCACCACACACAGCTAATTCTTATATGTGGTGGTGTTTTTTGACACAGTCTTGCTCTATTACCCAGCTCTTGGTTGTTTTAAATGGTGGGTTTTCTACTCTAAAAAGTACAGGCCAGGCACAGTGGCTCACACCTGTTAACCCAGCACTTTGGAAGGCCGAGGCAGGCGAATCACCTGAGGACAGGAGATCAAGACCAGCCTGGCCAACATGGTAAAACCCTGTCTCTACTAAAAATACAAAATTTAGCCAGGCTTGGTGATGGGTCCCTGTAATCCCAGCTACTCGGGAAGCTAAGGCAGGGAGAATTGCTTGAACCCAGGAGGTGGAGGTTGCAGTGAGCTGAGATCATGCCACTACACTCCAGCCTGGGCAACAGAGCAAGACTCTGTCTCAAAAAAAGAAAAAAGAAAAGTACAAACCACTTGAATAACATTTCTATGAAAATGAGGGCATCTGGCATGTATAGTCTCTAGCACATTCAGCATAGTTCGGGCTCTTCTAGTAACCATCTAGACATGAAGTCCTATGAAACCCCGTCTCTACTAAATATACAGAAGTCAGCCAGGCATGGCAGTGCATGCCTGTAGTCCCAGCTACTCAGGAGACCGAGGCAGGAGAATCACTTGAACCCAGGGGGTGGAGGTTGAAGTGAGCTGAGATTGTGCCACTGCACTCCACCGTGGGTGACAGAGCAAGACTTTGTCTCAAAAAAGATGTTCTGGCCCTGGTAGCTATGGCATCTCATGAGCCTACTATAAAGCACAGTTTACAAAGAAACCTCACCTGTAGTTACCCCATGCACAAACCATTTCCTTTGACTCTAAAGGAGTTTGAAAACTCTCAAAGTATCAAAATATTTTAATCTTAGACTAACTTAGAAACAGTTATTTACATACATTTAGAATTATAAATTGCAAAGAGAAATCTCCCAAGCCAAAATACTTATAAAATATTACTAAACATTCAAGCAAAAATATGTTTTTAACCAAACTAAATTTCTCAGCTCAGTGGCCTGCTGATAGAATATTGATTACTGGCTAAAAGCCATATTTGCAGAAACTTTTAGAAAAGTCTTTCATGGCCACATAGTATGTACTGAGCAATTGTAGAGTGAAGCACTGTACTAGGAGTTATCTAA